CCTTGTCAAATCGTATCACAACTGCATAGATGCCAATCAATTATGGACTAAATTGGTCACAACGAATAAACTGGGAACAATCTGGTTTTTTTTTAAAGAATTTATTTCACATAGTTAGTGCTGATGTTTTGGTGGCAGATATCTCTACATTAGCTGAAATCCGTGTCATAAAATAAATGTGTACCTAGAGAGTTTGTGAAGGTGAAAGAGTCCAAATAAACTTCAACATTTTATTGCAGCTCTATTTCATGGAAATTCAAGAAGGCTAGCAGGGAATGTTAAAATAATATAATATGATTTCATTACCTTTAAGCACTGTATGTAGTGGTAAATATTGCCACCAGGAATATGACAGAGCCACTGAAAGACTGAGTGAGCATCTGTGTAATTTCTCATAATCATGACAGCAAGTGAAAGAATGTTCACAGGCATATGAGGAAACAAATAGGTTTTTTGTTTGGTTTGGGGATGTCTTCTGGAATAAGAGAACATTATTGTCTCTTAGAACCTTGAGTTACTATCAGCAGCTTGCTGTGAGACTCCTCCTTCGTTCTATATTCAGCAGTATGTATATTGGCTTTCTCCACTGAAATGTTCTGCCTGTCCATGTTTGTGGGCTTTTTTTTTTCTTTTTCTGATAGCATTTGTTTGCTTGGTATAGTTTTAATTGTATGTCTATGTATACAATAATGTAATAGCAAGCAGGGTTCATGTTTCCAAAAGCATGTCACTTTTCTATAGCGTATTGCAGCTACGCTGGTCTAATAAAAATATTAATTACAAAGATAAAATATTAATTAAGATTATATAAAATACTAGTTTAAAATAAAAATAATATCTCTGTAATGCTTGTCCCTCTAACAGAACGTGTCAGTGACTATATTTCTGCTAGAACCACTAGCAGTGGAGAGGGAAAAGATTGTTCGACTTCCTGATATTTGTAGATGTCTTTTATACTTTTAAGAGTATTGGTCTAAATCTAGTTTAATGCAGTAATATATTTTTGCTTTGGAAGGTCACATGTTCTGTTGGATTAGGCTTGAGATCAAAGCCTCTCTGAGCTAAATCCATTCTGATATAGGTTTTACTACTGAACATAGGAGCAAGGTGCATGTGTTTTATTTCAAGAATACACCTACTGTGTAATAGTTTACTAATTTATGAAATATATTTTATGTCTTCTAAGTTATTTTTAAAATATAAATACAAAGTGAAGTGATTTGAAAGTCGTCCATTGGTGGGGAAACCATAGACCAGCCACTTTGTAGATTCCTTTGACTATACAAAGGACTTATTTCAGTTGCTTACATGTAGCCACATAGTGCAATATCAGATGCCCCAGTTTCTTCCATCTGGCTTCTGCTCAAGAGGGTCATGGCCATCTAATTCACAAATGGACCACTATGTTCAGGTGCTTTAATCACAAACTAGTTCTCTTCCTAGCTGACAGAAGAGCATTTTACTGCTTAATGAAATAAGAGATTGTAAACAGCAACCTGTTTAGTGGAGGTAGCTCCTGATCTTCTGAAGCTACATTTGGCAGATGTTCAGAAGAAATGAGGAAGCCTCTAGTGTAGCGGAGTAAGTGCTACAACTTTACAGGCTGTTACTGAGACATTGGAGGGGAAAAGTGAATCACCAAATGATTCAAGAATAAGATAGGTTTTGAAAGCTGTATAAGAAAGAAGTACTCTCCAATGACATTAGCAAGAGAGGTCCTGACAGCTTGCATCAGAAGAGCATTGACAGCAGACTGACTAAGTGGAGGAAGAGAAAGACTTTTAGAATTTGATTTCCATATAAAGAGATGCAAACTTTCCTTATCTATGGCTTTGCAAGTATTTGTACTTGTCTGCTCTCTGATGTCCTTTAAGAACATGTAACGTAACAATAGAAGTACAGTTAACCATGAATAACCAAAAAATTTAACTATCGACCAGAAACTTGATGGATTAGGATTAAGATAGCTGTAATTTCTCTCTCCTATACTTGTAGTTCTTCGCGAGTCTGTGACTTTTCTTGAACATGTAGATTCTGCCTTCTGACCTGGGAAGAAATATTTTACGTATTAATCTAAAAACAGGTGGGAGAGATAAAGGAAATTCTGTGGAACTTCCTTGAGGTTTTTAGTCAGCTATTCTTGTCTCAACAGTACATGCCTTTGTCACCAGCAAGGCAAACTTTTATGCTCTGTTCTCTTTGATGTTGATATGGCCTTGGATGACAATCCTTGAAGCAGAACTCTGAATCTTCAGGTGATACAAAGAACAATGTCAAAATGAAGGGATCTCACAGGTGCCCAACTTCTGTGTCACGCTTGTATTCAAAATTCAGTGAAGAGGTTTTTTTGCACTAGTTGAGACATAATTGTTCGTGCAGCACATGGACTGACCTCTGAATTCTTTTGCCTGTGAGTGAACTTGTACTTTAAATATACAGAGGAAGGAAATTGCCATTTATAAACAATGGCAGAAGGGAGTAGTACTTTCTGTTTCATATAAGTTTGGGTTTTTTTCTAATCTACATTGGTATTATACAGCACACAAGGTAAATATATGTTCTGAATTACCAGGTATTCTCTCCGATAAGTGCCGTTTTGGGACCTTGACTTCAATGTGTGATCCTGTTTGTGATATGCAAATCTTGCAAGTTGCAGCTGAGAAACTCAGAGTGCTGTGGCTAGCAGAGACCTCAAGAGACTTCTTAGTCATATTCCAACTCTTAGGCATCATACCTAGAGTATCTCTGATGTGTTTGAACTGCTGTTAAATGTTTAATGAAAGAATTCAATAGCATCTTCAAGTAGCTTGATACTGTTTTGACCATCCTTACAGTCAGAAGGCTTTCTGTATACTCAGGCTGGATCTTCATGCCTTCCCTGCAGTTGCCACAGGAGAACAAAAATGGCCATTTCATTTTTGCAGTCTTTTATGTTTTGGTAAACTTATTTTCCAATTCCCTCTTAGCATTCTCTTTTTTGGACTAGTCACACCCACCCCTTTCCTCTAGTGTTTCCTATTGTTTATATTTTAGAAGTTCCTAATCCATTCTGGCTGCTTTCTCTAAACTATTATCTGTTTATCTACTCCTTTCTAACAGATTTTTTGGTCGAGGTTTGCATTGTTGACTGCTTTTCTATCTGCATTGATTTCAAATTAAAACCTTTCCTTTTTTTCCTTGTGTGACGTATCAATTCCCTGTGTCAGATTTTCATTTACTAAATTAAAGGTTATGTGGTTGGGAAAACATAAAACCTGTCTTGGTACATATTTTTTATAGGTTTCCTGAAACCACACAGTCTTTGCTTTCCTCTTATTTTCACTTTCTTGAATCCTTGTAGTTAGTCCAAACTTGAAAGAGAAATTATAAAATTCTGCAAAAGTTACTCTTTTAAAATGTTTGTCTAAAGCTGAAAGCAATTCTGGATTTGTTCAGCTTGGAGAAGGCTGAGGGGTGACCTCATCGCAGTCGACAACCTCCTCACAGGAGGCGGCAGAGGGGGACATGCTGATCTCTGGTGACCAGCGATAGGACACAAGGAAATGGAATGAAGCTGCATCAGGGGAAGATTAGGTTGGACATTATGAAAAGGTTCTTCACTGAGAGAGTGGTCAGTCACTGAAACAGGCTCCCCAGGGACATGGTATTGGCACCAAGCCTGTCAGAGTTCAAGGAGAGTCTGGACGATGCTCTTATTCATATGGTTTAGGTTTACGTAGTCCTGTGAGGAGCAGGGAGTTGGATTCAATGATCCTTATGGGTCCCTTCCAACCTGAGATCTTCTATGATTCTATGATCCAGGCTTTGGGTTATGAATCGGAGTTAATTTTCTGGCTTTAACCTAGCAATTAGCTGTACAGCCTCAGATGCTGTTTATGGATTTTGATACCTTTGTGGACAACTCAAAATCAGTTGATTTCCATGCCTTAAATACTGGAACTTTTTTCTCCCTTTAAATTAGATGCATCATATAATAATGAAGTTGATGATTTTCACTGCTTTCTGTTACTGTGTGCAAAATCATCTAGTATGATGAACGTATTGCACATTATGTCCTTGAGAATAACCAGATTATTCTCTTTGTAGAAGACTCATGAGTTTGCACTGGAAGGGCAGAAGGATCCCTGTGATTTTAGTAGTCTCTGAGAGGAGGCTCACGTTACACTGAAATATGAAGTAGAGGAATTTAAAAACCAAAATGTAGTTCTTGCAACCTCTGATTTACTTATGCTACTTCCAAACAATTAACAAAAAGCACTGGTTTTATACTGAACTCTGTCATTCAAATCTGCAGCTTTTGATTTGCATCCTAAAACTGATCTACTTTTTCCATTTTTTCATGGAAAAGCTAGTGTCAGTGCCATGGTTTTGGTGGCTAAAAGAGCACAGAAAAAATATATCAGCATGACACGAGAGCCTGGTTATTGACTTTTCACATTGAAGGCTGAGTCAAACTGAGAGAAAGGGCTGGAGCATTCTTTTAAAGTAAATTCATTTGACTCCATGAGGGAAAATTCTTATTTTATTTTAGGTTACAGTTCATTCTAAGAAGAACATCACTGGGCTTTTTTCTTCTTTGGTAGTTTGCCCCATCAAAAAAACTGAAGTTATTGAATCTTCTAAATGTTGCTAAGGCTGTTGATGTAGAGGCCCAGTCTAAACAAGGACCATATAACTGAAATACACTGAAAACCTGATGTCAGTATCAAGTGGAAATTTGCACAGATTTCAGGTCTGTTTCTGATTACTTTGTTAGTCCATGTGTTTAAGGAATTGGCAGCCTTCGATGGGCATACAAGAAAAATGACTAAGCTTGATTTCTAGGTGGTTGAGCAAGAAGGAAATACAGTCCACAGAACTGTATTCCCCAAGTACCTGCATATGGTTTTGCAGCGCTAGAAGTCTATGGGAAATACTGACACTGGAGAAAACTGCCCCCAGATGGTTAAGGCATATTTTGTTTCATTTAATTGCAATTTTTGTGTCTTTTTTCTCCCCAGGTAGCAGCTGCTGGAGGACTTCTGAAATTTACAGTCTCCTATGATTTCACAGAAGAAGAGACAGTTCGTCTGATGGTTCAATCTGATGTCATCATAGAGGTAAAGTGATTGCATTTTCAGCCACCAAAAAAAAAAAGAAGGAAAATTGCCTACTTCTTCAGATGTTCAGCGTGAAGCCTGGTGGTTGAGGACACAAAACAGCGGGGTGCATGTGCTTTCAGCTAATTTATAGTATCAGAAATGGACACATTTTAGAGAACTAAAATCTTCAGTATCTCAAGGATCTTCTGGCAATATTGCAGTAGCTTACAAAACTATATTCTTCCTGTTCATCAGGAAGAATGAAGAAATAAAATAATTGGTAACACTTTCACATACTTTCAGCACACCAGTTTTTGTGCAGCTCAGCATTGTATGAATTTGCTTTTGCCTATGCAAAGACATGTCGCTAGGTTTTAGCTGAATAACCTAAACTTTCTTTTGCACTGACTTTCAACTTCATCAGGCAAGCCCCCTTCAGGGTTATGAAAGGTGAATGCTATTCCTGATATTTAATATTTTTGTAAAATATATTATTCAATAAATCCTGTACCTCAACTAGCTGCAGAGAGAGATTTTTCCTGACTTTTTTAATGTTTAAATGTCTCTGTCATGGTTTTATCTAGGGAGGTGACTTGAGAATCAGCACTCCAAAACGGGGGATTCACCTGCAGCCTTCTGAAGAGCACACTGAAGAAATTGTGCTGAAACCAGAATCTTTCTCTGTGCATGGCACTGATGTTCCAGTCAGCAGGAGGGAGTTCATGACTATCCTTGCAAATGTAAAGAGGATCCTCATAAGAGCTACATACAGCTATGGGATGAATGCCATCTACAGGTGAATGTGGGAAACGTGTCCGTTTGCTACAGGCAGCTCCTCCAAATACTTGTTTTCTCTCTTCAGAGAACTAAGCTGATGTAATTTATTATAATGAAATCCGTAACATTCATTTACACTTTCAAACCGTTGTTAGTATTTTTTTCATTTTGGGTAGGCAGGAGAAGGAGAGGCAACAGAAAGAAGTAGACTTGTAAGAAAATGAAATCACATGGACTGTTAAGGCATGAATGACAGTTCTATAAATATGTTTATTTTGTGAACACTGTAATTCCTATGTATATGGTAAATCATGGACTGCAGTAATAACATGTTGAAGTAAGAGATGATCTGTTTCTTATATATTGTTTTCCCCATTTAATGAGCACACAAGGCCACATTAACAGTGGACCAGAGAATAATATCCTAATTCTCTAAGCTGGAAAAGTGGCTCAAGGGGAGTTTTCTGTGTTTTTAATCAGTACCACACATAGAACTGACGAATCCCAAAGCCATTCCCTTGATTTATGTCAGGTTGCTGCCTGGACTACTGAAAACCACTGATTTCATGTGAACTCTTCTGAGTCTTCTGATAAAATGAAAGACATGTTATATGAGATGACATATTTGTTCTATCTCAGTGGTTGCAGCATAGTTGAACTTGTAAAGCTCATCTTGCATTTAAAATTCTCTTAAGTGCATGAACAAATAGTCCAGGTGGGCTAGAAGACAGCCCCTTTCCTGATACTATATGATTGCACACTGTCTATACATTAGTATTTAGGTTGCATAAATAATATTTTTAAATGTGCAATGGAATTGATTGCATAGTAGCTTTCTAGTCACAAGGCATGAAACCTGAAATGTTCTCTAACCTACACATCACTTGATTTGGCAGCATAAGCCAATTTGGAACGGAGGGAGCTTGATAGCACGTTAGTGATTATTTGCTGAGAGCATAGATAGAGTTTTTACTACTGTGAAATTTATTAAGCAATCCAACCATCATTTGAATCTTTAGGTAATTAAAATGCATCCTAAATTGAAAGGCAGGTTGTGTCAACAGCGTGCAGTTTTCTGATTTGAGCTTTTGTAGTGTGGTGCATTTGTTCCCTGCAAAAAGAATTCATGTTTCTTCACTCTCTTTCTCTTTTTGTTGTTAATTATTATGTATTACCTCTCTGTAAATAAGTTTGTACACCATAACCAGCTTGAGTTTGAGCCAAACTGTTTCCTAATCCGCTCATTTAGTCATCAGTCTTGCATTACCTTGCATCCAGTTTGAAAACTTTTCATGGCCCATCACCTTCCCACCCTGGTGTTAGAAGAGAGTCAAACCACCAGGCCAGAGCTCATCTCTTAAGCACTATGAGCAGACCATGAGAAGCTGTTAATCCACAAGCTTACAGCTGAGACTAGTGAGAGCTCAGCGAGTGCTGTTCCTCCACTCCATCCTCATTTAAATAAAATTTAAAAATCCATTAGACAGAATTTTCCAAACTAAAGGAGTGCAGAAGTGATTTTCAAGTGAACAGGGGCTTTTATGCTATGCTGTTTTAAAGGAGATATGTATGATTGACTTCATTTGGGCTAAAGGTCTTATGAAGTGTTATAGGAAATGCAAACTTCTGCTATCAGTGGTTTATATACTGTGTAGATATTTGTGTACTGACATTTGCACTAGAATTAGAAGGGGACCTTTTCTACAAAAAATACTTTGGCTAGGCAGTTAAAATCTGTGAAGGAAGTACATTGCTGGACATATACCGGCTCCATCTTGCTAACACACGTAGAACTGGCACAGTCTATAGTTCGTGCCTTGTAAGTAAGAAGTGGCAGACCTGTCAGTGGCTCATTTGGAAGACTATGTATTGCTGCCTGCATCCCAGATTACTGCTTTAGCCATTTGGCCATGTGTGGTGCCTTACTGTTTTGTAGTCTTGTTCATATTCAGCCTTTAGAAGATTTTAGTCGTGTGTTACAGATAACTTTCCAAAAACACATCTTGGAAATATTCTTCAAGAAGAGCTCCGGGACAAACATGTAATTTATGCTTTGCAGGTTAGTAGTCACCATCTTCTAGATGTACTGACATTTCAGTTAGGAAGATTGGTCCCTTAAAGACAATGATTTCAAAGGGTGTTAGGGGAAGGGACTCAATCAATTTTGAAGAGTACCTTTTTTGATAGAAATGATTTTATATTACTGGTACATCTTGCTGTCCCTATGATGTCTCTCAACAGAGAAGAATAAAATGGCCACTGTGCTACTGTGATTACCATCAACATTTCTAGACGTCTTTGAAAACAGTTTGCTCTCAAGTAGACACATTTTATTGAGTGCTGTCAGGATGCTCATTCCAGTTTAGTGTGACGGAAGAGAGGGTGTGAAATTCCAATCATGATTAAATAAATTAGATTTTTCATCTTTAATTTAACTGGAAGAACTGTAGTTTCACCCATCAGGATGGGATTTACTGGATGTAGTTAAATCTTCTCAGAACAGTGCATGCTTCCAGTCACATGATGTAGCAGCAACAGCACCTACTGTCATCCAGCCCAGCTTATGACCTGTTGTTGTAGGCATGTTGCTGATTTTCAGCGTATGCCTCAGTTCTAACTTCTTATATTTTCTTTGACTTTCACTCATGCTAAAACATACTAGGTGCAAAGCTGTGCTCACAAATGTAAGGTCATGCAAAACAACTCTCTTCTCTGTATTCTACCCCTTTAGTACGGCAGGGGAAATGTCCAGAGCCAATGAAGAGGACATTCTTTGTAATATCTTGAGCTGATTAAGGACTACTGTTGATAGGCTCAAAAGGAAGATGTTTTTGTCAAAGAAATAGCGTAGAGCTAAGCCTTAGTAGATAAGTAGATATGAACTAAAATTTTTTAACTGTCTTTTAAACAGGTATGTGTGGTGGACAGATGGATATTCCTCTGAGAGAGTAAAGAGGGTCTGGCAGAGAGACAGAGATATTACAGGGTTATTAGATCCTTCATGAATGACAATTTCTGCCTCAAAGCATCAGCAGAATTATGCAACATACTAATTAGGGATTGCTATATTAAGCAACCTGTTCGTTTAAATACTTAAAGTTTTCAAAACGGATAATGACACCACATGTGTAAGGATTTCCAAGGGTGCTATTATAATCTGTGCTTGAGAAGAGGCCAGAATGGAAGCATTGTAAGATTAAGCAGCTTTCTTGCAGTCATGTAGCAAGAGACTTAAAAATTCAATTGAGTTGTCTCCAGTTAGCAAGAGCTTTAACTTAAAGATTATATTTTGACCCTTGTTTAATTTAACCTACTAGAAACATTAGTTAATCAGTAGCACTTTCAAGTAGATACTAAACAATATTAACGCAGTAATGGTGCAACGTTTTTTAGGTCATTTTAAGCTTAGGTGTTGTTACTGCTCCCTGGCATAATTAGGAAGCTTCCTCAAATGAATGGGTTTTCATTTAGATGATCAAGTAGGATAAAAAATGCGAACACAGAAATGCAGCAACCAATCTGAAAGTGGTTACAGCTTCTGGGTTTATATCGAGATCCTGTTCTAACTTGACAGATCTTCTGAACTGTTACAGCTAAGTCCATCTATGGTAGAAGCAACAGGTCAGGAAAAGACAACTCTTTCTTATAATTTTCTCTAATCTAATTGTGTTAGCTTGTGCTTCAAAGAAAGTTTAGTAGCACTGTTTCTTCAGTTTTAATATTCAGAGTGGACACCAATGGTAAATGTTGTAGACACTCAGATGGTCATTGGAAATTGTGGTGCTAAAGATAATGGATTGCTTGCAACCACATACAAAATCAGTGCTAGGCTCAAGGAGAAAGAGGGAAGGAAAGGCCGAGGGTTTTCTTCCATATGCAGAATTGGCTTCAAGACAAATGAGCAATGATTGGGTCAGTACTTCATGTGCCTTACGTAGCTGATGTGATTCAGATGCCTGGCATAGCAGACAGTAAACTATGCTGATACTGCCTGAAACGTCCCCTTCCTTTTTAATCTTGTTTGTTTTTAGAAGTCAACAGTTGCATGCTGACAGTAACAGTCAGCTTAAATATTTGGTCTCGATGTTGAATCTCAAATTGTTCATGCATCTCCAGGATCCAGTGCCCCATTACTGCCAGCATTATGTATTTTAATGAATGCAGAATGGCATCAAGGAATCAAAACTGCAACATCAAAATGGGAGAAAAAAAAATCATTGCAGCTTTCTTCACTGAGTAACTGTTAATGCTAAAAACTGTTAAACACATTAAAATCCCATTTAGCAAATAGCAGAATGTAATGAAAATTGGAACAATTCAGTGAATACAAATGTGGGATAATACCAGGCAGATTGTTGCTGTGTGTAAGTGCTTCTCTTTGTTCCAAGATCTGTGCTGAGAGGGAGCTAGCTATAGTTCAAAGGATAAATAAATCTTGGCCTTTTACTAGTAATATGTTTCTTCATGTACAGATTTTTCTCCTTAAACTGTTAGATATTTTACTGTTAAAAGTCATCACCATTTGATATCTAATATCCTAGGGATTGGTTATCTTATTGTAAGGAAAATCAAAAGGATGATTCCAAAATAAGCATGCAGCAATGGAACAAAGGGGAAATATTGAAAAGTAAGAGAGATCTCACTGAAGATCTGGATAGGAACTTGCATCCTGCTCTTAAAGTACTTCCAAGAACCTTTTACAGAGGTTCTAGTACCACCAAATTAGATTCAAGTTTCTAACTGCATAACCCACAACAGTGGTCCTTCCAAAGTCCAGTCACATCCCCAGTGATGGTATAATTTCTGTTTTTCTGAAGCTCCCATTCTAATTTCAGAAAGCTTCCTTTTTTCCCTCTTACCTTCCATGTCTTTCTTATTGACAGTAGTCACAGAATCGAGTGGGAAAATATCCTGCCTTAACCTTTCCTCCAACCATTGCAGTAACAACAAAATATTTTTCTTGGATGTGTTCTTATTCAAGGTCATTCAAATAATTTTCAGGATTTTTTGGCAGTCAAAACATAAATGGCTTAGTATTGAGGAGAAAAAATTTGGTTTACATTTTCAAAAAAAAAATTATTATTTTTTAGCAAAACACATGTCATGATAGAAAGGTATTTTCTGCTGAAAAAGACTTCAGAAGAAGTAGCTATAGTAATCACACACTCTGTTAAGATTGCTGAGTTAAAACAGAAGTCATTGAGCCTCTGTAATGCCTTCATGTTTCTTCTGAATTCTCCTGAGAATTAAAACCCCAAATCCCAATTTGTTTCCCCAGATGGATACTGTTGAGGTATACTATATCTGTCTTGCATATTAGCTGTAAAATTATCAAAATAGTTTTTTTGTCTCTCTCATCAAACTTCCACTTTTTTTTTTTAAATAAAAATCATGTTCGGTGTTTCACTTAAACATTGTCTAGTATTTATTTTTTAAGGGCGGTTGTGCACAGAACAGAAAATTCTCCAACTCTGTCTTCTCTGTCATTGGGGAAACTAAGGTATGAGGTAGAAGACTTCCTTTTCCTTTCATGTACATACCTTTTTCTTTCATGTACATAACGCTTAGATCCTCCTTGACAGAGCTGCATTCTTTTTCAGAGGTCAAATCTCCAGAATAAAAATACTCTATAACCAAAACTTAGTAATGTAATGATTTAGAAAGCTGGAATAGTCGTTTATACATTTTAAAGATGCTGATTAGTGTCAAATTTATTATATATACAGCTGCAATGCAAGTTAGCGCTTGTGGCTTGCAGGCCAGGAGTAGCCTTCCATCTACAGATACAGTGCTGTGAGATTTTTTTAAATCTATTTTTATCAATATGTGCCTGACCATAGTCTCCCTCACATGATGGACAAAAGTAGTAACAAGCCTATAGACATGTAGTTTAGGAAGAAATAGATTAATACGAAAACCTTCTTATTTTTAAACAGGAAAACATAAACAAGCCACTGAATGTCACTATATACTGTTTGTTGCATCTGGCTGCACATATGCTCCCATCTAATTTGCTACGTTAACTGTTTAATTTCTGTTACATCCAGGCTAAGAAGCGTTAACATTGAAGCTGCTGACCACACTTCAACTGGGAGAAAGGTGGCATCTGCAGTGGAGTTATGTGACTGTCCCCCGGGGTATGATGGTACCTCGTGTGAGGTGAGTATCACGATGCAGTCTAGATCAATTGTGCTAACACTGTCATAGTTGTAAACAACCAGTGTTGCCCTGTGTTGATAGAACATCGTAAGAGAGCTGTCCATTCCTGTTAGGAATTTGGTATAGCTTGTCTAGTTACCTTTATTTCTAAGTGGTGGTTCATTATATCTGATAATATTTAAAATCGGAAGTTTTACACCTCTGTGGTGATTTCTAAGTTCTGAAAAGACATTTCTCTTAACCAAAAGAAAATGAAAGCAGTATTTGTACTCTTCAGCCAACTGATATTACAAATGCATGAAACTATCACAGTTAGAAGGAAAATGGCAGTTATCTGACCTGGGCACAACAAAGCTAGATTAAATTATCTACCTGAGTTAATGCGGTTGAGTTTCCTCTTTTGTTTTCCCATGACTTTGCCATTTGCCGTAGAGTCTTTGAGGACTGAGTGCGTGTTCTTGTGAGGATCGTTTCACTTTAGTTTGGTCCTGTTACACATAACAACATACACACATGTGAAGAAAATACCCACTTTCCTAACAAATTCATTAGTTCACACAGAATGTGTTCATACAAGTATACATATGATTAACTAGCTCACATGGGCATAACTTGGGGTAAATAGAAGCCAAAATAAATTCTTCAAAAGCTTTGCCTTTAAGGAAATAGTTTCAAACACCAAGATGCTCTACTTCACAAAACTACAAACAGTATGCCATTTACACAGGCACTCTAGGCATTTGCTTGTCAACTCCCTTTTTCTTTAAAATCTTCCATGCTTATATGTGATATTTAGGGCTTAGAGTCTAGTTTCATGCCAAATGTGGTTGCTTGTTGCTGGGGCTAGATAAACTAATGTAGAAAGAAGGCCTGAAGGAACTAATGGATATTCCTATCACTTCCAAAATGATGTAGACAGAAAAAAAAACCTGTAGAAGAATATTGCCTACCTTGGCTGAGAAATAATATTGGATTATCACCATTGTCTCTGTTCAACTATTTGAAGAAAAAAGCTGGATGAAGCGTCATTATGCTTGACACTTTTTTTTTTACTTGTCCATTTTTCCTCTCAATTCAGATTTAGGTGTGATTTCCTAGAAAGCAGTTGGAAAGGCCCTGATTGCAGATGTTTCAATATCTACTTTTGCTGTAGAAGCTGAAGGACTTGGGTAGAATTCCTGCCTTGGTGTTGCTGAAATTCTCTGTCCTATGTTGTGTCCTTCAATGCTAAACCTTCTCTCCAATTCAAAACAGTCCCTGAAATTTGGTATATACATACAATAGAAAGTACATATATACATAGCTGCAAATTTAAAGACTCTCTGCACATTAATGGGCATGGACATTCTTTGTTTCCTGCCCTGGCAGAGTGCTAACCGCAGACCTATTGAACCAAACCATATTGTAGTCCCTACCTGCATGTCATTTTTCCCCCCAAGACAGAAGACCAAGAAGATATGATAGACTTCTGCATAAGCACAGTTTTCCTGTGTCCCCTCACTGAATTTCAGAGCATTTTGGACAGCTCAGAAATGCCATTTGACCAAGTTGGACTATGTTAACAATGATACAGTTAAAAGGTGTCATTTCCATGCCTTTATTCGCTGAATTAATTTCTCATGAGTCTTTTGTAGCAGAGGTTCAACATATGATATGCATTGAACAGCCGTGCTTGATAGAAAAAAATGGGGAAATATCTGTGGTCTGAGTAGATAGTTGTGCTTTTTATAACAAGGACAAGCAAGGAAAAAAAAGTGAAGTTTTAGGTTTCCAGGCAAACTAGCAGTTGAGAAAGTATGGAAAGATAAATTGAAAATGTGGATTTCTTTAGAATACCATATTTGTTTCTTCTGAATACTTTTGGCCTTGTCCAACACTCTGCTGCTTCTAGTTTCAACCTAGCAGAGATTCCTTTTCATTGATTTTGTGCAGGTTTTCAGTTTCATTTTCTATTCTTCATTTAATTTAAGGTATGTGATTGTTTCCTGCATAATGATGTTTTGGTACCTGGCATAAATACTACAGTACTAAAACAACCATTTACTTATTTTCTTGCCATGAATGCTTTGTCACGATCAGACTTAAGAAGACAACCAATCCCATTTAAAATATTCGGTCTCTTATGAGTTCGTTCCATTACACAAATTTGGAATCAATTTTCTACAAGATTTTATCAAAGAAAATTGTTATTTTTTTGATAGTATATCTGAGAAATGAACACTGAATTGCGTGAGCATAGATAAAGCAGTTCAAATTTTAAATTTCAAAGACCAATTAGACTCATTTGTGATAGTTACTTTGTTTTACTCATGTGAATCTTCTGGCCTTTATTTGTCAATATCTTCACACCTAATTGCTCCTCTCCACCAGATTTGTTCCCTTTCTGTCTACTCTTTTACTTTCACTGTGGAAGAAGTTGTATTTAACTTGTATCACTATGATGGTCAATAACTTCCCTGATTTTTGAATGTTACGTCTTTTCTTAAGATTGCAATCTGTAATCTTTTATTTTCGTTCTGTTCTAAACCTTGCTGCGGATATCCCATGTCTAAGCCCTTAGAATTAGGGATGTTTGGAGCCTTATCTTGTGCAATATCACGTATATCTGTGCACAAGATCATTCTTTTCAGAATTACTGAAAGAGGAAAAAGATTTATAGATTTATACAGAAATACCTTAGGCAGTTGCATTTCATGCCACAGAAAAAAAAAAGGGGGCAATGTCTTCTACCCTGTTTTTCTTTTCTAGATTTTATAACACTGAATTTTTTTTTTTAGTACTTATGGGTTTTGTTAGAATGAAAAAAAGGAAAAATAAGGATAATGTCTTAGGTTTTGGAATGTTTTTTTAAAAGAATCATCTCAATCTTCAAATTACTTTCACGTTTTGCAGAATAAGACAAAAAGAGAAATTGTCTTTTTATTGAGGAGAATCTTGTTACGTTTTTGGAGAGTGTATGTGAAGGGGAAGAGATTTTCTTTATTAAATTATACTTTTAGTATTCTGTCACTACAAAACTTTCTCTTTGTATTAGCCAGGTGCTTTTGAAGGTCAACGCTCTGTCATGCACTTTTTTATATTATGCAAAATCCTTGGATCATATGATCAGTCTTATTGAGGAGAGATAGTTTGCAAAAACTATAAAGCCATTTATGAGATATATAGTAAGAAAAACTGTCAAATAAAACATCTTATTATGAAGAAATGGAATAGCTGAATTTTTGCTGCTGAATCACAGTTGTAGGATGTCGCCTTTCCTAAGAAAAAACTGGCCATGCATTTAATATTGATCTGATCTAAAAATGTAAAAATCAGAGCACCTTCTTAAAGGGAAATGACTATACTTTGTATGTAAGAAGCACAATTTGTAAGTAAAAGGATGGCTTTGTTTTCAGCCTGTGCTTTATTTCACTGTAGCCTTTTGTTAGACTCCAAACAAGAAAGACTAAATGGTATTTTAATTGGTCTTTGCAGCTGAACTTCTCAGAAAAGTTGTTTGTTGTCTTGGGTTTTTCTTCCCTTCTTCTCTCTCCTTCAGTATTTTGCCTTCTGGCTATTTTTCAATCTGTACCTCTTGCTTTGATGCTGTCATATTTCCATTCTTCATTTCTCTGCTTTATTTTACCATTTCAGAAGAATGACCAAGTTAAGGCTTCCTCTAATCTCACACCTGCCAACAAGGCTAAGGTCAGAGCAAAGCCATAGCACCAGGAAGAATAACTTTCTAGAGAAATGTTGGTATTTTTATAAATATGACAAGTATGGTTTTGTGTGTGCAAGTATCAAATTCAACAATATTTTAAAAATCCCATTCCTTTCCCTGTTCAACCAAGAGTTTAACTTTTTATCTAATTTGTGTTTCAGTCTTGCTGGCCTCAACACAGGCGTGTGAATGGCACAGTTTTTGGTGGAGTCTGTGCACCATGTACATGCTTTGGTCATGCAGAATTGTGTGATGATATCACGGGAGAATGCCTGGTAAGTGTCACTACAGGAAGGTTGATGAATATGGTCAACATCAATTCAATATACCTGCGCAATTGAATTAAAAACCTCTGAGACCTGAAATACTCAAGGAGCAAAAAAACCAGCTATTAACAGAAGAGATCTTTATGTTGAACTGTTGCTGAAGTTAAAGGATCCCGTCACACCAAGATATGGTAGCTTCTACAGTTAAACAAAACGAATTTCTTATTCAAAGGTTTTATGCTTTGAAATAGAAGCAACAGTATAAGGTATGGCATGCAGAAAGCAGCAAATATATCAATATTCTTCCATTCAAGTTTTATCTCCCCCTCCCATCTGTCTCCTGCAGTGTATTTAATTTGTAGTATGTAACAGGTAACTTTGTTAATTCTGTTCTAGTATGACAAGAAGATATTGTTAAATGCCTGCCTTCATCTAAATTCATACTAAACCTTGAAGAAACACTTGATAAATTGTACTTTAAAAAATAATAAAAGCATATGATTTTGGCTAAATCAACTTTTTTTCATATAGGCTATGGAGATTTTATGTAGTTACCTACTAATTCAGCAATTAAATATGTGATATTATCCATAGCAAGCCTACCAGGACACCACTATTTCTAGCCCATTCAGTAGCCTTTTGGAATGGGTGAATTATGCTGAATAGACTGCTCTGATTAACTCAAGGGCATTTTTAGTTTTATATTGTCTGACATGGCATGAAGCTTGAAACAACATTTCTCATTTCATTAGTCTTGCAGAAACACAGTTTGAGCCAGTGCCAGTTTAGTGGGATATCATACTCTTATTTCCCTGCAGAATTTCAAGCAGACTCTGTATTGTGCATGTTTCTAAATGTTCCCTTTTATTTCCTTAAGAAAAAGCTGCTGGGAAAAATCCAAAATGAAAATTCAGGCTTTTTTCAACGTAATTTGGCACTTAGAATTATCAGTGGTCTTCCTGTTTTGCCCATACAAGATGTTTAATTGCATTGCAGTGCAAAACAAGATATCCTTAATGTGTGGATCAGTGAATTTTTCAAATTGCTGTTTCATGAATAGAAGCTAAAAATGATTCTCAGTTTAATTATACTGTATGCCTTAAAGAAGTACCTAGGATGAAAAAATATGTCTGACATGACAGTCGTGTTTTGAATCTTTCATTTATATGCAATGAAAATATTTATCACTAGGGTAGTACGGATTTGTGTTTCTTGACAAAGCTAAAATTTATTGCATTAATGACTGTAGCCTCCAGCTATGATGTCTAAAACATCAGAGTGGGATAAAATCAATTAACAGAAAAGAAGGGGAAGGGAGAATCCTGTTCAAGGTACATCATTACTATTGATTATTTTGCTTAGGGGTGCATAGCCAGATGTGACTTCTGAGGTTGCTTGCTTCTGTGTCTTCAAGTTTTAGCCCTTGCACAAGTTCCATCTTTATTTTTGTTTATAGCACTGGCCTGGATGTGAGAGAAGGCTGTATAGCTGGATCCTGTAGTGCTTTTGCAGTTTCAGCTGATGTGAACAATTGACTGAGACAGTAGAGCTCCCCCTTCTGATGTTTCAAGGGTGCTGGTGTAAAGATAACAGCACTGACAAGGAAGTGGAAAACAACCAGTTGAAAATGTATTTTATATGCATTATCAAGCATTCTGTATTTTATACGTTCTGAGCTTATACTGGATCATCCTATAAAGAAGAGTCACACAGGGAGCTTAAAATCAGTTCAGGATTTTCGTGCAGCTTACTTTGAAAACACTGTAAGTGAAGTTAGATTGGTTAGTATCCATGCAGGCTATTAAATGCTGCTATTCAATTTGGATCATAAGCCTTTTGAAGTGAAAGAGAGAGAAGTCTGAATGCTGAAAAAGAGAAATGTTTCACATCAAAGGCATTCTTTCTACTGAGGTTTACACAGCCTTTTGGCCTCCTCATTATTATTCATGGTGTTTTCTCAGTAATACAACAGACAATTTAGGCACCTAATTTACTGATATGATACTTCTTTTTGCTCTTCCTTAGCTTTGAAATGTAGTTGAAAAGCAGATGAAATATGTTTTTGATTCATGATAAAAGCTTATACCATCTACTTCGACATAGGCATGTATAAAAAGCTCATTTTAACGCATATCTTGCAGTAACCTGCAAAGCCCTTTAATCCCCGCAGCAACCATACAGAGTGCATGATACATCATTCTCGTTACCATTGTGATACACACAACTACTTTGGTACATAGGGCAAGTTCTAACATTCAGAAATACTCAGAAATGTAGTGTTTAACGCACATGTTTACGGTAGCTTTAGGAGGTTGGTTAAACCTAGGCCTTGTGAAAAGCAAACACATTTCAAGGTGTTTCATTCATTGCAGGCTACTATGTTCCCATTAGTAAGCCCAGAGAAAGCAGACCTTTCTCCCCTAAGATTTGCTCAAATTACTAAATGGGCAGTCCCCCGTGGTATCCATTTTGCATTTTATTCCTTTGTGTGTCAATGGCATATACCATGTAGATTGAGGCCAGCGTCAGAGCTAGTGGACATGTGCTTTAGACAGTGTTCATCACAGGAGCAAAGATGTCTTCACCCATCTTCATAGACACAGAAACAAAATGATACATCCTAAGCTAAATACAGGATAGGCTATACCACAGATGAAAATTATGTAAAGCCTCTGCAACATCCTGATTGCATCTGTTACACCAAGAAAGGGAATTGTCCATGTAATCTTGATGTTATAGTAGTTTGAAAATGCCAGAAGAGCATATTCATCCTTCCAAAGACGTAATACCATTGCCTGGCCTAGATGCCCAGGGAATATTCTAAAATAGGCACCCAGGCTTACCCTTTCGCTTTCTTTATCTACCTTAAACTAGCAGCTTCACTGGTTGTCTCTTGTGACAGATATCCTGAGGAAGGGCAGCACTGTGCCAAAGGCAGTGTCTTGGACTCGGTCATGCTCCCTGATTAAAGTTTTGTTTTCGTCACTAGCCTTCTATTCACACTGTCTCTATCCATAGTCATATACACTCAGCTGCATATGCAGCTAAGCAGGAGTGGTTTTCAGTGTGAATTTAGGACTCCCTGACACTGCGCATAAAGATGTTCATTTGGTGTCTTCCAAGGGGGGAGAGCTGGGTCGGTAGGAAATAGTGGAAAACACACTCCAGGACATCAGCAATAAAGTCTCTGGGCAACAAGATTTGAGTCATACATAAAATTTTGGACAAGAATAAATGTCACAGTCTTTCTTGCTCAGAGGATGTCTAAGTGAAACTTAATGGTGTTTGGAGATAAAAGAGGTCCAGAAAACTGATGTAATCAAAATACTTTGAGATCCAGTACGTGGAATTTGAAAGCATAAAGATTTGGGCATAAAATTGTACCTGGCAATAATGTCATAGATCTATGGAACAAGGCACTGATTTTACCAAAACCACTAGATCAATGTGTTGGAACAAGCTATATTTCCAAGGGAATAGATCAATGTGTTGGAACAAACTGTATTTGCAAGGGAATAAAAAGAAAGCATATATAACATACCTAGCAGGTTAGGCACAGTTGATCATGATCTTCTTTATACCCAGACTCGTGACATAAAAAAATTAATTAAATGTTCCTACAAACGTGAAATTAAGACTTCTCACGCTTAAGTGTATTTTAAGGAAATAATCTCAGTGTGATTAGACAGTGCTTAAATTAGATGATACGCAAAACCATTGCTGTATGTTTGGCAAGTTTCAAAGTGAGATTCATCCAACTGATATGAAGAAAATATGAAATTTTCATGAGTATTGATAATATCTTTAGAAGGGCTAATAACTCATCTACTTCAGTACTTAAAGTGATCGATAAATTTGGCCAATTAGTATAAAGTTTAATGCATCACTGAAGAGAACAGGCATATTACATCACATCTGCGTACCACATAATCCTTGTTATCTGTCTTGCAAAATCCACACTGGCTCAGGCAGAAAAGTATAGGACCAAACAAGATTGTTATTTCTCAGCTAAACTCTAACATATACACAGTGCAACGTATGGTCAAATTTTGGTACTATGTATGTGGGGTTCTTTTTTGGTTTTAGATTTATTGATTCGTGGTGAGGAAGTAAGACAATACAGAAATATGGATTGAGGAGAATTATACACAGTACATGGAAATGACTGACGTTAGAGTTTCAGAAAATAATTCAATCAGAGAAGAAGGTCAGCTCTTTGCAACATGAATTGTTTTCCTACAAAATGGAAGGTTTCAGATTTTTTACTTAAAAAAGGCAGAAGCTGCAAATACAAGTCTGTAAGAGATGCATAAAATGATGATGATTTTAAAATAGTGTGTTAGCTCCTCTCACTTTAATAATATCCTTGACATATAAGCCATTCATATTCTTCAAAAACATTAAGATATGTCTGAGGATATTTAAAGCTTAACACAAAAGAAGAATCTGTTATTTTTCAGAAAAAGTACAAATAATTTGACATGGTGCCTTAAAAAAGTTGAATTGCAAAGGATTTTTCTTTTGAAACACTTACATTATTTTTGTCATATTGTCCTTTAAAAGCATAATCTTAATGATCCCAGCTACTATTTCAGTATGGTCGGTAGATTCGTTTTGAATGACAGCACTTAAAGTAACAAACAAAAGGACTTAAATGACCTGATGAAGTAGAATTTAACCCAGCTGATGGTTCTAAAGCCATAGTTTGGTTTGACTAAGAGTTTCAATAGTTGTTATTAGTTCACAGTCTAGCAAATATGTGAAAATGTAATATTGTGACTGATGCTTTCATTTCAAAGATATAGTGATTGTAGCACAAGAAATAAGAATGCACTTTTTAAAACATCAAACAGCATTTCTGGAGGCAGGTGCTTCTGACTCCAGTGTGCTTATGACTGAAAAGGGTATTGTACTTTTTCAGCTGCCCAAATGTATACTACTGGCTACGCAGAGCACAATGCAAAAAAACTTCATACAAATCATTGCAGTCCTGCAAAATCCTGAAGAAGAAATCAGTGTTCCTTAGAATAGTGCCATTTTCTTAATCCTTTATTGAGGATACATTATGTCATTCAGACAGTAATGCTGTTAAATATCAGTCAGTACCATATGCATGACATTGCAAATGAGAAAACAATTTTAAAGTGTTCTTAAAAATATTTTAAATTAAATCATAAGTTTGCAAATACCTACAACTTTTTTAAAAAAAACATCAAGAGTTCATAAGCAGCAGCTTGGGTGAAACAGATTCTAGATTTGTTCTGGCCCATTGTCTAAATCAGATCAGAACACAGCCCATTAAATAAAATCTCTCTGATGGCTTTCGTTTTGGCCTTATCAAGTTGCCATATGCTTTTTCAGTCTATACTCAAACACATCAGGATGGCATTTAAGAGCCAAAAACATTTCTCCTGCTTTCTGTTTTTACATTGTGAAAGGGCTACGCTTGGGTGTCTTGTGGCAAATATCAGTGAAAGGAATAGTGTGGTATGCTAAAAATGTTGCAAAAAAAAGGAAAGAGTTTAAGCCAGATAACTAAGTTGCTGAGCTATCATGGATCCTGTCAAATTATTTAGAATTTCTAAATCCTATATGGTGAGGGGAAAGAAGAGTAGAAGAAGTAATTACTCTTTAAAATTTGTTTTTTACAAGTCGTTATGGGAAGCCTAGTCACATTTTGCCAAAAGATCATTTAATTTGAGATCAGGCCAAAAATTATATACAAAAATGCAGTTCTAGTGCTGTCATTTTTATGTCATACATTGGATGTTTCATAGGCTCAGATAAACTGTCTCTTGTATTATGGAAGCCAGTCACATACAGGAACACAAACTGTTGAATAGGCCCCTATATACAGTATACCCACCCTTGTTTCTATTCATCATATGTAGTCTGGATCCTATTCTAGTGAACAAGTATTAATTTAACAATTCACACTTTACTACTGTTCACAAATATATTTAGTATACTGCTAGCCACATACCTTGTAAAATGAGCTAATGCACTTAGACGTGTAATAATTCATTTTTATAAATTATATCGTCTGGGCTGTATTTCTGCAGTTAACATCTGAAAACAGTTTGTCAGAAAACAGTCTCTTGCAACACTAAACCTATTTTGTGCCGCTCTGAACACTGGTTTTCTTTAAGCAAGTGACAAGAGAGAAGAGGAGGCTGAGGGGAGACCTTACCGCTCTCTACAACTACCTGAAAGGGGGTTGTGGTGAGGTGGGCGCTGGTCTCTTCTCCCAAGTACCCACCGATAGGACGAGAGGAAATGGCCTCAAGTTGTGCCAGGGGAGGTTTAGATTGGATATTAGGCAACATTTCTTCACTGAGAGGGTGGTCAGGCATTGGAACAGGCTGCCCAGGGGGGGGGTGGAGTCGCCATCTCTGGAAGGGTTCAAAAAACGTGTAAATGTGGCTCTTCAAGGCATGGTTTAGGGAACATGGTGGCGCTGGATTAATGGTTGGACTTGATGATCTTGAAGGTCCTTTCCAACCTTAGTGATTCTGTGATTCTGTAACAGTAATGCAGCCATTGTACGGTGGAAAGACAAAGGTCTGCAGTTAAATGTTCTTTTTGTTTTACATAGAGAAATAATTATCCAAAAGTGCACAAACACCTGACTTGTGAAGCAGTAATTGTCACAGCTAACCTCTAGAACTGGGTCTCAACTAGCAGCAGAAAATTAGAATATACATTACAGACCTCTTACAAGGATGGGCTGAGTGAATGACCTTCGAGGACTTTCCATATGTAAATTTTCTAATTGTGAATTTGTACTTCTCTTTGTATCCTCTATTTGTATCTTCTGTTTAGGACTGCAAACACAACACAGGTGGTTCATATTGTGATAGATGTCTTCCTGGCTTCTATGGTGATCCTACTAAAGGGACGGCTGAAGACTGTCAGCTGTGTGCTTGCCCCCTAAATATACCTTCTAACAAGTAAGATGTATATTTATTGCATTTTATGCTTTTTCACTTAGTAAATTGTGTAACTTTTTAATTTATTCTTTTGTATGTGTACTTGAGTTTCTTTGTGTTTTAATCAAATAATACATTCTGCAATATGAACTTACATTCTCTTTTAACAATTGTAGAGTGCTTAGCTTTGCTGAGAGGCAAAGATCAAGACAAAAGCTGGATGAGACTAGGCTAGAAAGCACAACCTAGAGTCTGGATGACTGCTGTTTTCTTTGAATCAATAACTAGCATTTGCTTTTCTGTTCTTTTTAGGAGTAGCTGTTTCTAGTTTTAAAGTTGAAGTTACAAATTTGACATGTTTGGGGTTTTTAATAATTGAATTTAAAATCAAAATTTGTTGATCACATAAAATAGTGATTTCTTCTGCTTTTAATTTTCCTTTTTTTCCAGTCAACATTCAGTGATAATGTTGATTTGTTTGGAGTCTGAATTCAGCCTTAGATCTTGCAAGTTAAAATACTTTGTCAGTATAGCTCAGATAAATCACTATTCATTTGTTTTGTTAAATAAAAATAATAGTGAAAAGTTAATAAAATGTTTCTTTTATTACAAAAGGCTGTCTGTGCTAGTTGCTACCTACAATTTAATAGACCCAGTAGCTTGGATTTTTTTAATTGGTGTTGTCACACTTGGTACCTGGAAAATAACTCTTAAATCATTTGATGTAATATAGTTGAAGAAAGCTGTTCTGGATCGTGTCTGGACAGCTTTTCTTGTGTATATAAAACATTTGAAATTATGTGTATCAGTTTTAATTAACACATCTGGCTTATGCCATCCCGCTTCAGAGGAGAAGAGCCCTGGTGCAAGTAGCACGTGTCCAGATTACACAGAAGAGATCAGGAACTGTTGAGTACATGTCAGACATGCTTGCAGTGGTAACCAATACTTGTTCAAATTCCAATCACAAACGGCATGTGGCTCCATTCTGAAAAGAATCACTGTTAGTCCACACAAGCCTTTCAGGAGGATTGTAGAATTGTACTGGAAGATTGTAAACTAAGCACAGAGGCTGCCCCATCCCAAGCTCTTCACACAGCTTAAAAGTTTTAAGTGGTTATAGGAGCTGATAAATCCACTGGGGTAATTTTTTTTTTTTTTCTCTCCCTTCAGCCCTGCATCTTCTATTTCACCCCATTTTCCCCAAAAGAGAAGTCAGATTCTGTCAATGAAATGCACTTTATTATTTATGAGTATAAAGAGTATTTCTGAAGGTTTATAGGGCAAAATCCATGGCTACCACCTGCACAGAGAGGGAGCTTTGCAAGGTGCAACTAAAGAGGAGAATATAATCTGAGTGGCAGTCTGCCAACATAAGGTACAGATGAACTAGATTTTGCTCTTAAGTAGTTCAGGCTAACTCTGTTGCTTACAGTGGCATTGTGTCCTATTAAAATTGCACTGATAGGGGCAGGAATAATCTAACCATTTATCAGCAGAAATTCCAGGGGATTGTAGCATGGGAGCCTGCCTTCCTGTTACCACAGCTTTTTCATTGCTTTTACTAGATATACATGGGATTATTATGTCTGCTGCTCAGACATGGTAGCTCTGACATCCTCATTGCTTTCACATACTTAGTATTTCCTTGCGTAGTTAATTAATTCTCTTTCTTTTGTTTGAGAACATTGTACTGGCAAAGCAGGAAAAATGCTATCACATTTATATCTTGTGGAGATGTGCAATAAACCAAGTCCAATAGATTGAATTTAGGTTTTTATTGGCAAAATGCCTGGAGACCTCTGTTAAGTTTTCATCAGAGTTCTGGCTGCTTCACTTTCCTCTTTTGAAATTATACAAGAGTCCTCTTTCTAATATTTAGTTTTCTTGAAAAACATAGTTACAAAACAAACACAGAATATAAATGTTCTTGAACTGTGAAACTGTGGGAGTCCTGAACCCTACGAAGTTTAGCCCCACATTAGAATTGTGCAATAGTTTCTGATTTCTAAAATGGACAAAAGCAAAACTGTGACCAACATCCTCAAGCTTTGTAGAACTCATTGTAAGGTTTAAGCTTTTATGAATTTACAGTTCCAAACCAATTATTAAATTTATGAGGAAAAAAAAAAAGAGGTTGTTAAAGATTTAATGAAGGCTGTTAAAATACTAATTTTTCTTTCTTACTTAGTTGTCAGTGAGTTTGGTATGCCAGAGATAATATATGTAGACAATTCAGATTCTTTCATACGAAAAATAAAGAAATTTCTACTAAGCTCATGTCATTGTATGGATGTAGAGTATGTTCTGTTATTTCTGAACAACCTAACAAGGATTAACTTATGTACTAAATGATTATAAAGAGCTGTCTATAGATTTTAGTTCCCATAGTATTTACTTCCTAGCATGGCATGACAAGCTATCTGTAGGTCTCTAAAGTTTTGGTTTTTATAGCAGTGTTTTATGTCTTTATGATGTTTATAACGGTTCTCATCATGGTTTTCACAGCACCTGAGTCTTTTTCTTTGCAATGCCCCATAAAGTCGAGGAGAACTGTTCTATCCATTTTAGAAACATGGTGGTGATGGAGGTGTTCTATAGTTATTTTAAGCTGATTTAACTGCTTCTCATTCCTTCTCCTGTTTCTTACTGGCAGCAGTTTCCATATGCAATCACTGAAGCCAATCATAAACCTGCCTTCTGAAGCACAACAGTGATAAGTGACTTGCCATATGTCAAAAAGAATGCTTGGCCAAATCGGGAAATTAAGTTGTCTAAGCTTGTTTTCTAGGTCCTGGGCTCTATTTTCCTCTTTTTGCATATATCTCCATATTTGTACTTATATGATGCAAGCGAGATCAATACCCATATTATAAATGGCATATCTAATGCACACTTGACTACTTTGTCTTAACTCTTCCCATTAATGCATCACTCTTACAAACCGTTCTAACATTCTTCATCTTTAAGGAGTTTCAAATATACTGATTTTTTTTCCATAGAAATTATCAGGAATACTACTATATAATTCTTTCTACCAAATGTAGATGTCTGGGATAATTACTGCTTTTCTCTTGAAGTGGTGATTAATTTAATACAGGTAAAGAAGACCCTGAGAGGAATATAATAACATTGGAAATAGGACATAGAAGATATCTCACTCAGCCTGGGAAGGTCACAAGTAAACTCATAGGATGTGAACTTGGAATTCTGGTTGGTCTCAGAATGTTAATATTTTACTGGAGAATTTAATAAAATCTGAATCTCATTCTCAAGAGGTGTTTTCTATAAGATACTTGTAAGCCTTTAAGAAGCTCTGACTCCCAACATAGACCTATCATAGACAGATAGATAGATAGGTATAGTGTATTCATTTGTTCCATGTCCTGACTGGTCCTAATGTTGTTACCTTATTTAAAAATTGAAAAGAGTGATGATGAATCAAAAGGGACAAAGATTTTTTCGAAGCTTGTTTTGAGAGATCAATACACACTGTTCATTAGTATTTATCACTAGTGAGTAATGAGATTCTAAATAAACAAGATGATTCTTTTCTCACCCTGCTATCACATATTTCCTTTATATGGGAATATATATGGAATATACAGATGGGAATTTCCTAATATATTAATGTTTAGTGTTGAGATGTAGACTTACTAAGTCACATAAAGAATCAAAGGATGCTAGGTCTGAGCATAATCCTTAAAACATGGAAATTCTGCTATTAATTATTATTGCTTAGTAATAATAAGTTTTCATTATTGTTATCTTTAAAATTTATGCAGTTAATTTCAGAGCTCTTGATGGAACTGTGGTACGGTCAATCTTGTGCAACGTTATAATGAGCTGTGATTGCAATCTCCACAAAGTTTCCCATGTAACTCTTACAAAGTCTAAGGTTGGGACTGACAAGCAGGATCTTATTTGAAATAAGTCAGGTGCTGCTGATTAGATTCAGTGATAATATGAGCCTCAGTTGAAAATTGCTTTCATTGCTGTTTAAAAATAGAATTAATAATTAGTATTTCTTCAACTGGCTCCTCATACATTTGTGAATCTATTCTTAATTGAATGCCATTGCAAAATAACACAAACATAATCCTCACAGGAAAGAGGAAAATCCCAGTATCTGTCTGTTTACTGGACCTGAGGTTCCTACGTTTTTCTTACTGATCTCTTCTATGTCTGTGGGATAACTTGCCCTATGACAGACAGGGTATTTATAAATGGAACTAATCTATAACAGAAACAGAATATAGAGTAACTGACGTCAGATCATAGGATGGATGACTCTTGAGAAGTGGGGTTCAGTCACCAGCAGGTAATCAGGTTACATGTTCCTAATTAAGATTTTCTGTCTTCCCTGTGCCTATTATTTTCCAGAAACTTTCATCATATATCCTGCTTTAACTTATCGAAGGTCACATTACGGTTATTTGTTATTATTGTAGTATGATCTTTTAACTTGACTATACCTTCCTTCTGATGTCTTTGTTAGAGCAATTATATTCCCTCTCAACTTCCTTCTGATGTCTTTGTTAGAGCAATTATATTCCCTCTCAACTTCTATTTTGCTAGCTTACTTTTCAGATATGTGCTTTCTTTTCCTGTTCGGAATAGTCACTCCACTATGCATCTGCTCCTGTTTTTTTTGGGGTTTTTTTTTTTTTTTTTTCTATTTGGTTGATGAGAATTGATTACCATTATTTAGATGAGGTCCTATAAAGATGCTCATATGTCTCTGTCTCTAATAATAATTCCAGAATGACAGAAGAACAGGTGCCTCTTCTGTCTTTTAGAGTGTCAGGAGGTTTCCTCACAAAAGTGTGTTAAAGGAGAAAGATTACAGAAAGCAAAATGCTAAAAAGCGAGGGAGTATAGTTCAGAGTTAAAGACAGAGGTGGAGCTTGCAAATGCCTACAGTATCCCTATTTATTAAAAGAAGAGCTAAAAATAAGTAGAGCATAGCAAAGAGGTAAAGCTTTCTACTCTGCAAGCTATTCTTAAACTTCAGCGTGCCT